AAGTATAACCCATGATAAAATCTTAATAGCTAATCCCACAATTTGCTTGCCTGTGTTTTGCATCACCCCAGTGTTGATTGTTAAACTTTATGACAGGTTGTGGAATGATATCTCTCCTCCCTTCTTCAAATCTCTAACATTATTTGTCTTGTAAATGTTTAGACCTGGAATGAATCACTGCAGTATTGACGAGGAGGAAACTACAAAAGCTGTTTTTGCATTGTATCAAGTTCCAGCTGTAGAAAATCAAAGCAATCCTGGCAATATTATGTCTAGATTACCCTCAGCTGATGCCCTGAAACCTGACCAAAACCATCAAGCTTTTGGTTCACGGGCTATGCCCCCTGCTGGAAGGAAGAAACATGGTTTAAAAGAAATATCAAATGCAATGGATAAATATGCGCCAACTCCTATGAAAAGTAACTTGAAGTCATCAGTCAGATCCAGGAGTTTCTCTGATAGGACTCAGTCTCCTGTGGTAGGTGAACCTGGTTTACATAATCTAAGCAAACGTGATTTGCCTGTCAAGAAAAAGAAAAATAAGCAGAAAGATAAGCATAAATTGTTGGAACACAGTTATGATGGAGGTATTCTTTTTAAACTGTTACATATTGTTCTTGTAAATTCTTTTATTTTATAATTATGTAATGTGTTGATTTTATAAAACATACAAACAGGCAATGCCAAAACTTCGGAGATGAAAGGAAAAAGGACTGCTGATCAAGATTCTTTAAAGTCCTCCAAGAAAATTAAGGTTGAAAATTTACATTTTGCTGATGAAGATTGCATGTCTGAGCATGGTGGGATGGGGGCGCCTAATAATGGTTTACCTACCGCATCAGTAGGAAAGGATCAGCCCAAGCACAGTGAACTTTCTTCTTGTAAGGATCCAAAGTTAGATAAGAAGGACAGGCAACAGATATCTGGTAAAAGATCAAAGGAAAAATTTCAAGTATCCTTAACTGATGGGTCACTGGATCTGGCAAATTTTGATAGTGGTGAAGCTTCAAGAAAGAGGAAAGTTTATGAATGTATTGATGGTCGACTAAATGCAGGCTTTCCCCAAAGTATTGGCAGTCACTTCCAGGTTAGCAGAGTGTTTGCAAAGGAAGATTTCAGCGAGAATGAATACAGGAGAGAAAAAAAGGCCAGGGTATCTACGTCAGGAGGAAAGGATTCCTCTACAAGCAAAAGCAGCGGTAAACTTGAGAAAAGAACTAGACAGACAAAGAATCACCAGACCTGGCAAGATCTAGGCAGCTCTCTGTCCCGACGGAGTTTAGATGGTATGGATTCTTTGAAAAGGGTTTTTGGATCTGCCCAGCCTTCATTAGCAGCTACTTCTAGCTCATCTAAGGTTTCTGGTTCACGTAAATCAAAACCTGGCTTCAATGAAACAAAAGGCTCACCTGTGGAATCAGTTTCTTCATCTCCTATGAGGATTGCCAATCCTGATAAACTTCCTTCAACAAGGAGGAATGTTGCAGGGAGCGATGAGTCTTGTGATGCTGGTCTTTCTCTTGCCGGTAATCCAAGGAGCTCAGATGGTGAAGATAATGGTATGAGCAACAGATCAGGGACAGTATGGAGGGAAAAATCTTCTTTTACGGCTCAACATGGGTCCCTTGAGTCCTCTATACATGATATTAAGGATAAGCATCATTGCCAATTAGGTGGAAGTAAAGCAAAGGCACCAATTGAATCTTCTCCTGAGATCAGGAAAGGGCAGTCTATAAACGGTAGTGTTGATTACTTAGGCCAAGAGGCCCATTATGCTGGTAAATCAACAATAATGGATGAACACTATTATGAGGAACATCAGAATGACAACTGTGGCAATGCCAATATCTCTCGTCCAAGAAAGTCTGGCAAGGGATCCTCGCGGTCAAAGGACAGGTCTCCTAATTTTAAATCTGATTCTGCTTATAAACAGCAAGATTATGTGTCTTCATATGAGATAAAACCTAGGGTTGGTAGAAACAAATTTCAGGAGAGGCCTGGGGTCAAGTCTGGTGAAAGTGAGAACAGATTTTTTGATAACAAAGAATCTTTGGGAAAATTGTCTGGTGAGAGTAGTAAAAGAGAGAGTCAACCAAATTTGTGTCAGTCAAATACTAAATCAGATGCCACTGAAGGTCAAGATGAAATCTCTACTGTGAAGCAGAATTTGGTACAGGGTGGCAGTAGGGAAAAATACACAAAGATGTTCCACTCTGACAAATCTGATCAAGCAGAAATTGCTTCTGGGAGAGGGAATTTGCGACCATTACTACCCGCAGGAGGAACTAAAAATGAGATGCTGACTTGTTGCCCCCTCCCAGTTTCTGGGTCTCAAACAGGAAATGGTGCTGATGAATCTCAAGATGATGATGCACTGAAAGTACAAAATCAAATAAAAAAGGCTGATCAGCAGAATGGGTCTCAGCACAGTAGTTCAAAACATACATCTAGTGGACGTAGGGACGGGGGTGTTGATGCCCCAAGTCCAATGAGAAAGGAATTTTCAAGTCAGGCAGCTACCAATGCTTTGAAGGAGGCTAAAGATTTAAAGCATCTAGCTGATCGTGTCAAGGTTTTGCTTTAGTAGTGTTTTCTTGTCACTTATTTGTTGCATTATTGTCCTAACCTTTATCAAGGTTTTTATTTTATTTTCCAAATATATATTCACACAGAACTCTGGATCAAATGTGGAGAGCACTGCACTTTACTTCCAGGCTGCACTCAAGTTTCTTCATAGTGCTTCTCTACTAGAATCTTGCAACGGCGAAACTGCAAAGCATGGGGAGATGATTCAGTCTATGCAAATTTATAGTAGCACGGCAAAACTCTGCGAGTAAGTTAAATATTTGGTGCTCTGCTCAGTGTTTTCTTTCTGTTGTAATCCTAAGTTTCTAGATGTTGTTGGAGCTTTATCTTGTATAAGCGTTAACATGAAAATCTTCTGTTATTGCATTTTGTTTCGGGATGATTCATTTCTTGGCACTTGGTTTTATTTTTGTTTCTTTACCAATTAATATTCAGGTTTTGTGCCCATGAATACGAGAGATTAAAGGACATGGCTTCTGCTTCTTTGGCTTACAAATGTATGGAGGTTGCTTATATGAGAGTCGTCTATTCCTCTCACGTCAATGCAAATAGAGACCGACATGAGTTGCAGATAGCTTTGCAAATGGTTCCTCCTGGTAATTCAAAGAACCCAGTGATTGTATTGGCTGAAATTGTCCTGCTAGTAGGTCATGCATATTGTTATTACTGGTTCTTCTGCACTTGGTAATGGAGGAGCACCAGCCTCTGAATTTTACTCTGGAATTTTGGTGCTTCAGTGTGAGAAGATCTCTGCATAAGATGTTTGCATCTTAGAAGCAGAGCTGAAACTGATTGCACTGCATGAATGATTGATTTGCTTGCTTACATCTTGCATGTATTTTGTTTACATGTCGTGGAGTTGTTCTTTGGTATCTTCTTCTGAGAATCTTCAGACAAATGTCTTTCTGGTTAATTTTGTGTTGTTTTTGTTCACACATGCATATCTGTTCTATTTTAGGTGGAGAACTTGAGTTTGTAAATCATCAGTGTTCTAGTTCCATTTGACATGTAAAATGTACTAGGTTTTACAAAATGGCGTTGGTCCTATTTAGGACAGGCCTTGTGCATGTATATGAATAGATATTTTCAAGTAAGCACTCATCTGTTTCTATCTTCCAGCCATTTAATGACCTTTTTCTTTCGTATTTTCCTTTATGCACATTAAATTTCTTTAAGAGTAATGTCAATATTTTATTGATTGAAACAAATTCATGAAGTTAAATTGAACTTCTTGATATTGGTTCTTGTTTCCATATCAGGTGAGTCTCCTTCTTCTTCTGCCTCTGATGTTGATAATTTAAACCACCCGGACAAGATTGCTTTTCCGAAAGGTGTTAGCTCTCCCCAGGTTGCTGGAAATCATGTCATTTCTGCTCGAAACCGTCCTAACTTTGTGCGGTTGCTTAATTTTGTAAGTCTAGTTTTTCTTGTATATAATTTGGAAGTATAATCTTGTGATTTTGATATGTTATGAGGGTGAAAGAAGACCCCCTCCCCCCGATAAATAAATAAAAAACCACCCCAACCCAACATAAATTGCACCACCTTTTCCCCCAAAAAAGTTTTTCCTTTTGGTCTAATGCCCCAAAATTCTTTTTGCTTTCTCACAAACTTTCCTCCCTCCTATACCTTGACCCAAAGGCTACTGGTTTCTGTATGTTGAAGTTGCACGTGTGCCCTAGCAGCTTTTTGCTTTCAAGAACAAAAGCTTTTGTGGCCTTGCCTTGAACTTTGTCCATTGTCTCTCTTATTATCATGCATCATGTCATTTTATGCTCTATGGCTTGTATATCCTATTTAAGCTCAGTGACGTACAATAACTAAAACCAAATGGATGATTTGCAGGCACAGAATACAAATTATGTAATGGATGCTTCCAGGAAATCACGAACTGTTTTTGCAACTGCCAATTCGAGTTCGATAGGGGGTGGAGAGGCTATATCTTCTGTGAAGAAGGCTCTTGATTTTAACTCCCTAGACGTTGAGGGAGTGCTACGTCTGATACGACTGGCGATGGAAGCCGTTAGCCATTAAGAGAAAAGGGGGGCAGGGGGGAAATCTGGTTGGTAAGGATGGTTTTATACTAGAAGGAATTTCGTGATGATGATTTATCCTTTGGTATGAAGCTCTGGAGTTGAAAAAAGAAGAGTGGATTGCTAACTCTTTCTGCTGCAATCCTTAACACTTACATTCTAAAACTGGCTAAGTGCATACTGTCTAACACTCACGGTACATATGTGCAATACAACATAAATCTCGGATTTTCAGTATATTCTTCACAAGCTTCAGCTGCTTTCTGACCTGAACAAGCTCTGTTAGTTTTTCCCTCAAGATGGTATTGAGGACATGGGATTCAAAACGGATAAAATGCATAATTTTTCTAAGTTGTATAAGTTGGTGACTATGCTCCGAAGTTTATATAAAAATGGAGAAGCCAACTAGATATTGAGGCGGATTTAGAATTCCAATAGTAGAGTTTGCCTTTGTTTCAGCATCACTGTTCCCACAAGCAGTTTTACTTCACCTGTCTAGTTAATCTGTTCATACTATTTTATTTAAGAGACCTCCATTGGAAAATACTGGGAAATGCAGCAGCACATGCTAGTTCCTCTGGCTAAAGGACTGTGATTTTCTTGGTTAAATCACCATGGAGCGGATCATAGTAGTTGGCGTCCTCAGGTTTGCTACTCTTCAGACTCAACAAGGTTGCAGAAATTTTGTGGCAGAAATTTTGTGGCAGTAAATATTTTATGTAACAGGAACATATCTTTATATGGTTCTCAATTTGGAATGTCGCAAATGCTTTTTTTTGTAGGAGAGGATCATCTATTATCTTCAAGTTGGCCATCTTGTTACTGATAGGTAACTGTTATAGTAGCCATTACCGTTCTTTTATTGAATTTCAATTCTCTTAGTTAATAAGTATATTCTTTATAGTAGTAACATTGTATTTAATACAGTAGTTGTTAACTTTATTCATTATTTGCAATGCAATGGTTTGGGAAATTAATTAGCAAAAGGGATAAATCAACTTTTAGCTCATGAACTTGGTAACTTTTCTCAAGTTGTCCCTGAACTTTTTTGGTCTACATTAGTCCTTGAACTTTACAACTTTTTCCCATTTTTGATCCTTTTTGTGATGTGATGCTCTGAGATTGTCATGTCATCAAAAGGACTAAAAATGGGGCCCAAAATCCATGTTCAACCAGCAAGTTGAGAAAAGTTGTCCAGTCCAGGGACTAGAAGCTGGCATGAGCCATGTTCCCAGTTTGCATGTCCATATTTTACCTAAAAGTTAAGCCTTTTAAAATGTGATACCATGTGGTGGACACATTTTTGATACATTATTAAGCAAATTTTGGAAAAAGTGATTCTTTCACTCAGCTTTAGCATTGCCGAGGTCGGCATATCTCTTGGTTGAATCTGGCAGTTAATATCTGCGCATTTTGTATGGCTTTTGATTTATTTGTTAGGCTCTTCGATTACTGCTAATTGGAAAATATCTTTTGAATTTCAGGTTGCTATGGATGGAGTGTGATTGCGAAATCACAAAATTGCTCTTAAACTCTGTACTTGTATAGAAACAAACAATTTTTTGTACCAAAAAGAAGTAAACAGTTTCTCAAATCTTCATCAAATAAAATTGGAGCCGCTTCCTGTTATGTCGTACGTGGTAATGATTCTTTTATTTGAATTTGTTATGAAATCAGTGAGAATGACGAGAAAATAAACAAGGTTAACACAATAAATAATTATTTCGAAGAAGATTATAGAATACGTATAAATTTTAGAGATCCTAAGAACATATTTAAATTGTACGAACATAAATTCCAAATAATAAATTTATATCAAGATTCCGAGATTCCACCTTACATAGTTGGAGAGCTTTCACATCTACTACTATTTCTTTCATTCTTTTCTTTAATTTTTTTATCGTGACCTTTTTAAACAAGGCTGGAATAAAATTAAAATCATAATATGTAACAGAATTCTCCCTTAATTATTTAATTTTGGCTCCCCTCTTTCTAGCGAGAGATGAGAGATGCAACATGTACTTGCTGCAGATATATGTCATAAGAGAAGTGTTGTGCATGGAGCAAGATGGAGAAGCGGGACAAAATGTAACACCCCCAACCCGTATCCGACCTGGATACGAATCCAAGGTGTCACGTCGACTTTTCAAACACATACATTTATAAAAACCATAGTAAATTTAAACTTTTATTAACACAAAACTATATTTACATCACTAAGTTCAAAACATTACAACTTGATCAGAGCATATATACCTACTAGATGACTCTATTTACATGGCAACACATATATTACATAAACACACATACTGTGTAAGGTGCTTCTGGTCTGATCTTCAAGTTGTGATATGCTGCTCTGCTGCTCCTAAGACTGATCTTCTTGTTTTTCTATACCTATGTGTCAACCATTTACACTCTAAGTCATAGACTTAGTGAGACATAAACTCATAATAATGCATTTCTTATGAATATGAACATATAACATACTATTCATATAAAATCATCACTATCATTCACGATTCCATTTCATTTCATATGATTCTTATAACTAATATTAACACTGTAACATGTAATGCAATATACATTTTTCATATTATTTATAGGCCCATGTATATACTGAGAACTTAAGGTATTCTAATACATGGAGGTTGTGCACGTTTGCTGTCACCACAGCTCGTATAAGTCCCACTGAGTGGCATATGAGATTTGTCCCTAAAGACCCATGAATATGTCCCGAATGACCTATGAAACCCTAGACTCTTGGCATGCCAACTATACCCAGAGCTCTCATATTTCATCACATGGGCATTAATATTATACTTCATATAAACATGTGCTTATGTCATTTCCTTTGTAATCACATATATCTTTTCTTCTATCACATTTCTCATGTGCATATAATCATCCATCTCATATTCTATGACATAAGTATTTGAAATACATTCACATGAGTCATATAACATGTATTGAATCATATGTAAATATAAATAACTTATGCATGTTTAATAAAGACTATAATGTATGCATGTACATAACTATTAGACTATAAAATTACTCTAGGAAATAGACTTATCACAAGTCTTATTTCCATTAAATTGCACCTATATTATGCACTCACCTTAACTTTGCTTGATTTGAATCGATCTTAATGATTCGATTGTTCCAGAACGGGATTACGTTCAGTATCTACATAATCATACATGGATCTATATCAATATTCTAATTGATATACTCTAATCTTTCATTTCTTAGACTAAAACAAAGGCAAATTTCATTCTTGACTAAGGTAGGTATCGGTACACTCTATAGGGTATCGATACATCCCTTAATGTATGTATCAATACACTACCTATGTATCGGTACCCAAATTACATTCGAAGTTTTCATTTTAAGGGGGCGTATCGATACACTGCCTAGGTATCGAAACCCAAATTACATTCGAAATTTCTCCATTTCAAGGGGGTATCGATACACTCCTGAAGGTATCGGTACCCTTTGAATATCTTTATGCATTTTTACCCCTGATGTATCGGTACCTATTGAATGAGTACCGATACACCCTAGCCCAGAATTACATTTTGAGCACGAAAATCACTTCATTTTAGCTCAATTGCGCTATATATCAACCCCTTTCATATCCTTAACTTACATACACCTACTTAAACCAATTAATACTCATTCAATACCTCTTTAACTTCAAAATCCAATCTTCTACGTAGCATTCAAGAATCACACTAAAAAATCAATATGTTCTAACTCTAATTCTAACACTTCATACTCCTTAATTAGATTGATGACAAGTCAAATCCAACTTCTAATTCTAATTATGAACTCTATTTCAAGATTTCATTCAAGAACTTCTACTCTTTAATCTCTCCTAACTCCATCGTCTTTTGATTTTAAGATAACTTAAGCTTTCCTTAAGCTTAGTTATCATCTAATGATCATAAGCCAACCTTAAATTCAACAAGAAATTAACTAATAAGAAGACTCACCTTTGATTCAAGCCTTCACGTATGAATAAGGAAGAGGAGAAGAAAACTCTGGAACCTTTTGTTTTCTTCCCCCTTCACCCACGTGGCTTAATATATATATATAACCAAATTTAATTATTTACTTGCAAATGACCATTTTGTCCTTCAATTTCATTTTCCTTGCAATTCAATCCTATAACAATTTACCATATAAGTCCTTGAACTATTCAATTATTTTACTTTAATCACCAAATTCTGAAATTTTATAATTTAGTCACTAACCCGGTATTGAGGATGTTACATGCTATATATGCAGTTCAAGATACTAACATTGCTTATTGTAAGAGGGAAACAATAAATTGTAAGTGCACTTTGATCCAAAAGCAAAGAATGAAAGATACAATAACATTAACAAAGGAAAAGTATTTACAACCTTATCAAAAATAGGAAATTCTGCTTTAAGCACTGTGCACGCAGCTTCCTGAATCTGTTTGTTGGTTCCAGGTTCTTGTCCTGCAAACTGGTTGCAAGGAAATGCTAATATCTCAAAACCTGCACTCCAACATTTATAAGCGTCAATCCAAAACCTATTAGACAGAACACAAGAGATTCTCCAATTTACGAGAAGTGACAGACCTTTGTTTTTGTGTTTTTCATACAAAACATTGAGCTCCTTATAGTTTGATTGCGTTAAACCACTGCCAAGGGGAGGAAAATGATTTTTAACATGAATAGCTAAAAGGTTTATATAATTGATGCTAAAGAATCAAGCCATATAATTAAACTGATGAAGCATGTAGATTAACATTTTGAAGCAACATTCATAATCACGAGAACTTTCCCCTCATATTCACTTAAACTTACATCATTCCCATGAATGTCCTGCACATCGTATAACATACAGTTTATTCAGTTGAAGCAGGTATTGATTTGTAAGGTTTTTTTTTTTTAAGAAACAGATATCGATGTGTATGATCAAAAGTTAAAACTAAAGAGTGATTGTCACAAACCGACCTAGCCCGTATGACCTTGTCGTGATTGCATAAATCACAATTGTCTTCTTTGGGTACCTACAATAGATCAAGTGATATCCATTCTGCATAGTGCATTTGTATATGTGTGCTATGTTTCTGGTTCAAACCTCTAGAGGTGCATCTAAAGATTGACAAAACCTTGATGGACTTATGGGTATCTACAAAGGACAATTTAGGTTTTGGCTATCACAACACAGTCTATTAGCGGAGTCCGGATGTGAAATTAGTAGATGAATTGGTATCCATTCTGCAGAGTGTGCTTATATTTGTGCTATGTTTCGAGTTCTGGGTTCGAATATCTGGAGGCACACCTGCAATATATATATGTAGTACTTAAAGATGATAGCTTTGGTTTATGCTATCACGAAATAGCCCCGCGGAATGAATCGGGTCTTTTAAGTGATGATATATACCAGCAGACATACAAGTAACAAGTAATTCAACTGTAATATAAATCCAGGTCCGGCAGCAGCAAATAGACAAACATTGAGGGAAAGCAAGTAATTCAAGTTTAAAAGGTAATTTTTTTTTAGCTCTGATTCATCTCCTCAGTCCCATCATAGTACTATTATCCAAATAACTAAAAAGAAAAGGGAATACCTTGACCGTGAAGTGGTATATGGACTTTAGGGAAGCGTCTTCAGCCAAGCCATGAATGTGGCCCGAAGAAGATGGAGATTGAAACTGAAAATACAGAAATAAGGAAAATCCCAGAAATACCAGAGCAACCAAATTCGTAAAATTGCAGTCCCAATCCATTTTAATTTAATTTTCAAGTCAAATCAAACCTATCCTTTCTAGAATACACTGTTGCTACCAATTTTGAAGTTCCAGGTCCGGATTTTTTTCAGTATTTATTTAAAGATCTGAATTGTATGATTTGAATGTCAAAATTAGGGGAAATAGGCTCAAAAGAAGAAGGTAAATGTAGATCGCAGCAAGCAGAGAACTACAAATAATTATAAAATTGTTACTGGAAATTCTTACTGGTTAAGTTACGCTTTCTATCACTCAACTTTGATTATATCCTTGTTTTGGTTACTAATTTTTTTTTTTATAAAAAAAGGCAATTTTATCGCTCAACCCTTGAATTGTTTTAATTTTTATCACTCAATTAAATTAGAAATAGTTGGATAACATGACCTTTTTTTTGCTGATGTGGCCTAATTTTCTGCTTATCTGAAAGTTATTTTTTTCTTTCTATTTCAACATCTTCCCAATAACATTAAAACTCAAAGTTTCATCTTCATCTCATGCCGTCGTAGACAGTTATTCTTTGATTTTTTTCTGACTATTCCAAACAACGATAAACTCATCTTAGGGTGCGTTTGTTTGAAGGAAAACACTTTACAAGAAAACATTTTCCTAGTTTTACGGTGTTTGGTTCAAAGAAAAAGTTAAAGTCAATGGAAAACAAAGTACGGGTCAACGAAAATTGCCCCCATTTTACTGTAAAATGACTTACCGACTGAAATTCGGTAAGTCGTTTTACAATCTTCACACTGAAACTTTCTTCTTCTGCTCCACTCGATCCTTTCACTGTTTCTCCTCTTGCATGGCCTCTTCTCCGCATAACATCCCAAGCGTCACCGTCAACGGCACTTCCTTCACCGACGCTAAATCTCATCTTCTTAAGAGACCCAGAGTGCTCTCCGTTGTTCACTCCTTCCGATATCCTCTCCGAATTCTTCCACCACGACCCAACCGTCGCTCGCATCAACAACGGTAGTTTGGGCAGTTGTCCTTCCTCTGTCATCTCCGCCCAGCACGACCTCCTGCTCCAGTGGCTCCAACAGCCCGACGATTTCTACTTCAACCAGTTCCCCATCTTTTTCTTCAATTGGGGCTTTCCCAAATGAAAAAAATTTCTTTTTCTCGCACCAGCTCCAACAATGGCCCTCCTACAGTTCCAGGCTCAGTTATCCAAGGCAATTAAAAAGGAAGGGATTGAAGTTGGAGAAGATTTTAAAGTTGACTCTTGGATTCCCTATTGCCCCGTAGCTCAACAAGTTCTGATATATTATCGATCACCCAAGGATGGGGAGGATGGTGGAGTAATGGGGTATGCAGTAATCTCTTATCAAGTTTATAACAAGGTTGAGAATTATCACAAGTTTAGGGATGTAATGTAGTCAATCAACTTGTTCACAATGCTTTCACTTGTACTTCTCTTCCCAATTTAAAACATTATTCATTATATTTAAAAAATTATAAAATATAATTTTAGAATAATAAAATTAATTTAATAAAATTAAAAATAATAAAATAATAAAACATATTCAATATGTACAGCTTTTTCATTAAAAACAATTTACATTTCTATAAAGCATTTTCCAGATTTCATTTTCCGAAAAACGTTTTCAGTGAACCAAACGAACCCTTATTTTCCACTATCATTCTCAAAAAACTATTTAAAACTCGTGAAAACTCAATCGACTATAATCTATAATATTGTATTTTGGTCATCTTAGAATCATGACATATTTCTTGTCTTCCCCTCTACCTCTCTACTCTCGAAATTTGGAAGTAAATGCTTTAACATCGGAAGATTAAAAAGAATTAAGAAAAAAAACTAAGATAAAAATTTGGCAGGAAAGATTTTAGGGGTATATTTTCATAAACTTTAAAAAATGGGGTGTTGTCATAATTTGTTAAGATAAATGCTTTGTCGTAACGTGATTAAATAATTGACGGCCTAATCGCAGAAAACGAAATAATATCAAATTAAAAGAAAATTAAAATTTAGTGACCAAAATATGAATACATTCAAAGAGTGGTGAAATTTATAGTTTACCCATTACTAATAGTTCCTATACTGGATCTGGAGGTTTTTCCATAAGAGCCCAATAGTGATATCAGTAACATCGAGAAATCTGACTGAAGTGCTGCAATTGGCACTTGAGGAGCTCTTGACGCGTGAGATAACTACGTCCCATTACAGAATAGGAAGAGGACAAGTCATATTTGATGATGAACAGATTAATGGCATCAGCATTAGCCATTAAGCATGTGGTGACAGATATACAAATACAACCATCTTACAGTAAGCAAAATGGAAAACAAGTGCACTGCAAATGATGGATAAAGCTAAATCCTGCATTTATTTAATATAATGTTGTTACTATAACTGATATATTAACAAAACTTGAAAAGACAAAATAATTACCTATGAATCATCATGCAACAAACAACCGCTGCTATGGACTTTTATGCACAGAGTAATCTTTCTTACCACTACTTCAGGCATCACTTTTACAAGAATTAGGCCTATTGAATCCTTGCGTTCTTCAACCTGTACATTAAGCGTTCTATAGACTTTTGTATTCTGTTGTCATCTTTCTGCCTCACCGCTTGAGATGCTTGCTGTAAACTCTGAATCCCACGACCCAAACTGGCAATTGAGGGTGCTGCAGGAAGAGACTCGGCAGCACATTCAATACCATCTCCATATACGAGCAAACTCGTGCAAGTTGCAATACTACACCCAAAAGTAGCCCACGGTAGGACCCCAATTGGTTGCACCCTCCTTTTCCTCATTATTTCGTAGAAAGCCGTTCTCGTGGCTGAAAAACTGGTTTTTTCAGCTGAGGCAATAACACCATGGACCACTGTCCGGATTTTTTCAGCTGAAGCAACTGCCTTGAAGAAAGATGAATTTGCTCCAGAACTTGCAAGTCCAGGGGCGACCAATTTTGACGGGCCAAGAGTTTTACCAAGAGCAATTCCTACTACCTTCTGGGTCTGAGACAGAACTAGCTTAAGTGAAGCAGGTACATTCATAGTCGCAACCTTCATGAAGGTTGATGCAGGGATAGCTTTAGAGATAGACGATGCTCCTAAAACAGCCGTTGCACCAGCACCCACTGCCACCACAGGTTTCTTAGATAACAACCGCTTATTGTCTGTGTGATTTGAGGTTTCACCATCATCTACAACAAGATTGGAAACTAAATCCTTGACCTCTTCAGGAACAGGGGTGTTCCAATTTGTTCTAAGACCTGCCAAGCTACTAGCATCCACTACGGCTACTACAGTCTTGAACTTCTTAGCCTGACTTTGAAGAGCCTGTGCAAGGATTGCATGAGACTTGTCCTCAATAGGGAGCTCAGAAAAAGCAATATCAGATGTCCTGGCATTTCTTAATTTCTCAATGGGTAGCTGACCAGCGTTGTTAAGTGCAATTCTCAGAGCTTCAACAGCAATTCTGAAAGTGTAAACTTCAGACATTATCCCAGTATCCACAGCCTCCCCTCTGTTTACATCTAAAAGCAGCTTTTGTGAAAGTGCAAGTGCTCTTCCAATTGAAGGAAGATCAATGAATATATCATGAAGATCCAAAAAGCAGTGGATAAATTGATTGTGCAAATGGTGGAGCCTCATAACTCCCTGTTGGCCGAATTTCATTCAACCCGACCTCAGGAACAGAACCTGATTCCAATAAATCTATATGCGAAGATAACAACTTCACCATCTGTGACTGAACATCATTGGTGATGCGGAACCTACTCATAAAACTGGAAACTGGAACTGAAGTGCCTTTTTGTGGAACCAAACTACTAACTAGACCTTGAATCTTGCTCCCTGCCTCAACTTCCTTGGAGGAATCATATGCAAGAAAATTATTACCAACAGATGATTCGAGCACCATAAAAGCTGAACCAGCCTCCCTCGCTGCCCTCTTGGCAGCCAAGAAATGACCATGAAAACCAACACCAAATATCTCTCTCAAAACCAACTTTCCAGCCACATCATCATACTGGTCCTTGTTAATCTTGTTAACAAAGCATCGTTTGAGTACTTCAAAAGAGGAAGTTGGAACAGTATTACCAACAAGACTATCTTCAGCCAGAATATCGGAGAGAGCTGCGACACCAACCTGTACGATGACCGCATCGGGTCTAAGTTCCCTAATAAGACACTGGGCATCAGCAGCTGACCTCTCGGATAAGTTCTGAGCAGAAAGCATGTAAATGACAGACTGAGAGTTAGGTACCCTCACAGCAAACACAAACTTTTTAGTCCGGTCGGGTATCGAAAGCTTCTGAACTAACTCACGTGAGGCTCTTAAATCATCGAATTTGAACATCGTAAACGGCCACAGATTTTGCAGCTTCCACATGAAAGCAAAGGCCATTGCAAATTAAGGCTAGTGGTGAGGGCTATCAAGCGGCGAGGGACAATATAATGTAAAAGGGAAATTAATTCTCTTAATCTTTCATTCGTTTCTACATTGACTTAGAATGAAAAGGATAATCGGGGAACCCAAAATTGGATTTTTGAATAGAAGCAGCGAGCTATTATGTTGTTTGAGAGGAATGAAAATAGCACGAAACCCTAAACAAATACGTAAAAGAAAATACGAAAAAAATTAAGAAACTTGTTTACCGAGAATCTGGAACGATATGAGATGGCATCACATCTCGCAAGTGCAAGGTAAAAGAAGCTGTGGAATCGTAGGCGATGTTGGGAGTTTGTTTTCGGCGTTGCGGTTGAAATTAGACAAATATAAGAGGAGGAGTTGGAGAGGGCTTTCTCTATTCTTCCTCCGATGCTTTCTCTATTCTTCCTCCGATGAAGCAGGGACGGAGAAGAGGAAGGGGAAGAGCAAAGAGAATGAAGAAATAATTAATAAAATCCTAGACACAACTAACGAAAAGAGAACGCATAATAAGGGACGTTTGTATTATTTAGATTGTGATTATGGTGATCACTGATCAACACTCGATTCAATTTGGGCAGGTCAATTTTTTTTTTAATTTTAAAAGCCATAAATTCAAGTTTTACAAGTTTCAATATTGATATAATATAATAAAAGCAAACAAATAAATATTAGACACATATATAGCACATACATGTATAGGCGGAAAAAAAGTACATTTTAATGCACACAAATGGTTAGCACGCGTGTTTGAGTAGTGTCCTCTTTATCTCATTAATATTTCAAAATTATTGATTTAATCACTAATATTATTGATTTATAACAAATCGATCACTTAATATTAACAATTGTTCTTATGAATATCAAAACGGTGATCTGGTGTGTTCACCAGCTGACCTGAAAACCATATTGTCACACAAGATTGCCTTCCACAATGACCGGTTACTCCCTCTTTAAATGAACACAATCCTTAAAACCTTAATTACTCAGTCCTTACTCCTCCACTTTTAAAATAAGCACACTCCTTAAAACCCTAATTACCCAATGGTTATTCCGGTGACACAGATTTGATGGTTTGTGCAAAGTACAAGCGTGAAGAATGCCTCGTATGTTGATCGGAGCTGAAGCATAGTTTGGTCCAAACCGATGATTCCTTGGGTTTTAGCTAGCAGTGTTAGACGTAACCAAGGCTTTAAGGATCTCAAAGTCGAACAATGTATCAGTTCTCTATCCATTGATGTTTGTTGTAGCCAAAATATAAAGCAAAAGCACCATGGAGATGATATTCAAGATAAAGTTGCAACCTTTTCATTTATCATCAGATATCATAATTGATTATGCCATATTAATCAAAAGTAAGAAGTAAAAAAAATAGTAAAAATTTAAAAGAAACTCATTTCATTCCTTTAACTAGAATTTAACTTTGTTTTAAAGGTTCAATTTTCTACTTGATTTTACTACGACAATAACATAAGCAAACATCAATTTAACTTTTAAGTAAAGTGAAATGGATGCGAGAATGATCAAATAAGCAAGATAAAGGAGAATTGATAAAAATGTTGAAGCTTTGAGTAAAGCAAAAAAGACTAAATCAAGAATTAAAATGATCCCAAATAAAAGGATAAAGAAGGAAGAAAGTTTTTTTTAATGACAGATAAAAACCTATTGGTTTAATCATAAAATCGTAAAAGATGTTGTGAGTAATGAAATTGACAATGAAGATAAATAATACATAGAGGATATAAATGAGAATAAAGATGAAGAATTTAATTGAGAAGAAGAAGGATTTTATTGAAGGGAACTGATATGAGATTCAAAGGTGAAATATAAGTATTGATAAATAGAAAGGTTGATAAATAATAAGAAAGGGAAAGAGAAAAGGAAGAGAACCGAGAGATGTTAGAAGTGTCATACGTGAGTTCTAAGTATATGTTTGAATTTAGATAGGATGGTTCAGAAACTAATGTTTAACGGCGAAGGTGGTGGTGTTACCATGACAAATAATAAAAAAGATGATTTATGACAAAACAAATAAGATAATTGTGGTGATCTCGTGTAACAATACAATTTCTAGGTCAGTCGGTTAAAATGTCAGATCAACATTATGCCATCTATAATAACGATTGTTAATATCGAGTGATTAATTTATTATAAATCGATAACATTAATGATTAAATTATTAGTTATAAAACATCAGTGAGAAAAAAATAAACTTACTCAAGCATTAAGACCATATAGTTTAGTTTACCAAAGAAAAAAGAAGAAGAAGAAGATCGGTCTAATAAACCATACGCGCGTGGTTGTCGCCTACAAAGTTGATTTTGGGCTTTAACTCGGCTGTACCCTTATTCTATGCTCTCTTTCTACCTTCTCGATTCGATTTTTTCTCTAAATTGCAAAACCCTAACCCTAATAATTCGTTTTGAAACAAATAAATAAACAAATTCTTCTCTTTTAATTGTTTTCATTCTCCTAATTATTGATGCTCTGAACTCCAATGCGAGGTAGGCATCGATCCGGTGCGTGGAGCTTAGGCGATGGACGCGTTGAAGGAGAATCTGGCGGAGGTAGAGATTGGGAGCACCGTGGAGTCAATTCAAAAGTTTATAGACATTCAGAGGGAGCTCTTCCACAGCCAGATCGATCAGCTTCAGAATGTTGTTGTTACACAATGCAAACTCACCAGCGTCAACCCACTCGCCCAAGAAATGGTTCGTCATTCCAAAATTCCGTTTTCTCTCCCTTTGGCCGGAGTTGACCAAAAATAAATCATGCACTCCAATATTTTAAACTTTTTATTTGCCGTTTTGCAGGCAGCTGGTGCTTTGTCAATAAAAATTGGTGAGTATATGCTAAAGTTGCTTTGCGGGGTCACTTGAGATCCTGTTAGGAGCTACATTAGAATTTTCTAGCGACGGCATGGTTGTAGTTGTGTAATTGTTTTTAGATCTTTAGCTTCAACTGATTTCATCAGTGCTTATTGATGTGACAAGTATTTCCTAATGTAATATGTGCCATTTTTTTTATGAATTAGGACGTGGTTTATTGCATTTTCTATCTATTGATTTTTTCCCAGGGAAACGGCCTAGAGATTTGCTAAACCCTAAGGCTGTGAAGTATATGCAAGCTGTTTTTTCCATTAAAGATGCGATTACTAAGAAAGAATCCCGAGAGATTAGTGCCCAATTTGGCGTTACTGTCACACAGGTATATATATTTAATAATTTATATCATTTGTAGTTTATAACGTTAATTCTTTCCATGTCTTTTGGTCAATGATGTACACAATATTAATAATCGGTTTGCAGTTATGCCAAGGAATGGTCTTTTAGATATTATTGTAAATTCAGTTATCCACTTCCAACTTTTATATATAGCAATACGATGCTTCCGATCATACTGTCTCCCAGAGAATGCATTTTGATCGATTAATGTTAAATTGTAGGTGCGTGATTTTTTTAATAGCCAACGCACTAGGGTGAGAAAGCAAGTTCGGCTGTCAGGGGAGAAAGCCTTGAGATTCAATGCTTGTAAAGAAACAGAAGAAGGGATACTCCCAACTGGATCTGAAGCTGTTATACCAGTTGAGCCAGTTCCCTTAAACTCTGTTGGCCCTGTTAATTCTGAAGAAGCACCATCATGCTCGACACAGGATGATTCTCTTACTGGCATAGACGAGCTGGATAAACATTTTGTTGAAAACATATTCAGTAAGATGCAGAAAGAAGAAACTTTTTCCGGGCAGGTGAAACTGATGGAGTGGATGTTGCAGATACAAAATCCGTCAGTATTGTATTGGTACTTATCAAGGAAACTTAATACAGTCAGCAATAAACATACTGCTGCTTGTCTTATTTGATTTGATAGTGTCTCTTTATCTTGCAGGTTTTTAAGTAAAGGTGGTGTGATGATTATAGCAACATGGCTGAGTCAAGCAGCTGTTGAAGAACAAACTACTGTTGTCTTGATCATCCTCAAGGTACATGTAGATTCAGTGCAGATAATTTATATGACCCTTTATTTGTAACTTTACGAAGGTTGCAGTTAATATTTGGAATGTAGGTTCTTTCACATCTACCTCTACAAAAAGCTCTCCCCGAACATATGTCAGCCGTACTGCAAAGTGTTAACGAGCTGCGTTTGTACAAATTTTCAGGTATGCATTTGTTGGTTGGAATTTAATTCTTCTTCTGCCTTTTCATCTCTCCATCTTATTATTGTGCTTGTCTTAGTGGGCTTGGATCATTATCTTAGATCTTAACCAATGTGTCATATGTGATAATGACTTATGCCCTATTAGAAGTGTTCATATTTTGTTTTGGTTGTGTTAATTTTTCTGGTATAATGCTTTGTTCTTTCTTTTTCCCTGTATTTGAACTTAATTGTTCCGAGTAAAATGCTGTGAAGACTAATACCTTCTTTCTGGTATATGTGATAAAAATCCACTAGTAGATAACCTTCATTTGTGGGGAAAATAGTTTTTATGCTGAGCTGTATTATTTATATGCTTTGTGGTACCTTGGATCTCATTTTGCTGATTTGAAGATCAGACGTATCGAACAGGGCAAGGCTTTTGATATCACGGTGGAGCAAAATGTTTGCAAGAAGCCAAACTGCGAAGAAACCAAATGGCTTGAGGTCCTCTACTGAAACACAGAATGAGATGCTACTGAAGCAGAGGTAACTTTGCATCTTAACCTCATGTGTGCTTGATTTCTTTCAATTTAATTCTTATTATTTCTCTCTGACTACAGTATCAGTGAAATTATGGGTGATAGCTCGTGGCAGTCAAATGTTTACAATTCTGTAAGTATGGAAAAATTAAATAAAATTTGTTAACAGGATTATATGATTGATTGTTGTTTTCTAATCAATGTTAATGATCTTCCAGGAAGGAACTCTTACTACATCTAATGTCAGGTGTGGGATTTATTTATATTTGTATCTAATATTTATATGTTGGTTGTCATTCTTAGTATTTCGTAATATAGAGATAATAAAGATAATTGTTTATCCAGGAAATTAGATTCTCCTCAAGTTTTGAAACAGCTACCGGCTTCCACGGATGACTTTGCAAAGAAGAACCACCTTGGTGTTTCTGGTTCTTGTATCCTTGGCGTCGTTTTGTTATGATTATTGGTACTTCCCATTCCCATTCCCTTTTCTCTTTATTAATTATTTTTTTAGTCGGGTTAGTGATAAATATTTTTTTCACCTTGTAAGAGGTAGGCTTGGTGTCCATTTTCCCCCTCAATTAGAATTTGGTGTTCTTTTGTGTCCGGTACATTTGTTGTTTCTCATCCTTAACAATTTGGATTATTATTATTATTACAATTATTATTTTAGTAATAATTATTATTAGGGTTTATTTGATGCTAGATATGATCTATTTGCTGGAACTTCTTTTCAATCTATTCTTCTGTTTTACCAATCTTAACTGATTTAAAACATGTAAGATGGTGTATGTGTGATTGTTTAGTTCTTTTCAAGAGTATCACAGTGCCTTAGCTAGTCCAGATAGCAGGGAACGTAGGAAGGTTCAGTTAGTGGAACAACCAGGACAAAAAGTGGCTGGCAAAAACTCCCAAACTACAAGAACAGTACCAGTTAGTCAAAGTCGTCCTTTGTCTGCTGATGATATCCAAAAAGCAAAAATGCGTGCCCTGTATATGCAGGGTAAAACATGGGAAAGTTGGTTCCTCTAATGGGATGAATGAAATGAAGAGTGAAGGTCCGAACAAACCTTCACCTTCTAAGACCAGCTTTTCTCGACCAGTTTCTAAAATGCCCTCCCAGCCACCTGAAGAACAAAAGAAGTCTGCAATACTTCCTCCCAAAACTTCTAACAGGCTGGAAATGACTGTTGATCCAAAACAGCCTGTGGCTTCAAAGGAATCTCCATGGGAGAAATGCCAAGAGTTCAAAATCCCATGGCACATACCACCAGGTAAATCTGCATCAGTGTATTTCTTTAGCTCCTGCTTTCTGTTTTAGATGGTAGAGAGTGCCGTTTAAGTATCCACAATGGAGGAAGATTCAATTGCATCTTTGCAAGCATGGCTGACTACTTGCTTTAACTCTCCATCCCTTCTCCCGCAATTTTTTTTTCCCTTTTGGAAAAGTTGGGAATTGGTTTAGTTGTTATATGCTCATCCCTCTTTACCTAGAAATATTGAAAGTTAAAATATTGTTACAAATATCTTTTCTTGATATGTGATAATAATTGTATCGTCAGGGTGGAAATATTCCTGTTGAAATTTTGATAATAATTGTTTTTCTTTGATATGAGCATCAGCGCGTGGCTGAATTGTACGTCCAAAAAGTATACCAGAGAAAATGAAAAACCATTGATTAAAACTTTAGTGACAGCTAGTCATGGTAGATAAATTTCTCAAAAGGCTTTTGCTAATACAGTGGTTAGTCCAATCTCTATCATGTTTTCATTATCAAACTGGATTATTGTATTTCTTCAATAGGATCATGCTGGTCGTTTGAAATAACGTGTGCCTTGATCCAAATTCCAAGGCAAAGAGCCGTTGCTTGACCAATAAAAGTGCAGGCATTTAATTCTTCACTGGATTGCTCAATTGTGATTGATGGAATCCTTGTTAAAAGATCTATTTATTTATTAATTAATAAGGAGCTTCAATCTTGAATGACCTGTGCTTCTAAGGTGAAATTACCAGGCTGATGGAAATAAGGGTTTTCTTTTATGCTATGAACTTGATATCTGGTGTTAAGAAATTGAAACTTCTCTGGATAAAAGTTGCCACATTATGAGCACTTTTGGTTTAAAAAATAGTCAAAGCAAATATGTCATTGATTTTGGAACCAGATTTTGGAATATTTTGAAGAGGTATTACCTGTATTAGTAAAAATTGACCAAAGAGGCTTGGTGATCACAGATTTGTGTTGTTAAACAAAACTAGAGGGTGTTTCTTGTGATGAGCTTAAAGTCGCTCCAAATTGCATTTGCATGCTTTTCTTGTTACCAGCAAATTCATCTTCAATAAGAACAATAATAACAACACAGGTCACTTCAATCTGCTTCTAATGATTTTGTATATCTAAGCCCTTGTGTTAGTAATGGACCCATTTTTTTATTTGATTGTTAGAATAATTCAATTACAATTGGACTCTAATTTTCAGAAAAAAAACATAGTTCAACATGCTTGTTCAATGCATACAATTAAACAGCAAATTTTTTCCCACAGCTTGAATTTGATCTTTTTGGTCAATTTTCTGTTTGTTCTCTTTGTTAGAGTGACTCATGGGTCATCTCACTCTTAGTAATTGATCTGCGGGTTTCAGACTGTTTGTCATTTTGCTTTGTATTTTCTGCAGAAATAAAAATCGATCAACTTTGGAGCGTTGGTACCGGTGAGAGTAGCAAAGAGGTTGACATGCAGAAAAACAGAAACCGTAGAGAGAGGGAAACATTCTATTACACGAACCAGGAGATACCCTCTAACCCCAAGGACCCATGGGATCGAGAAATGGACCACGATGACACACTGACCCCAGAAATCCCAACCGAACAACCACCCGATACTGACTCCACTGAAACACAGGTCACCCATGGTGAACATGTAAATGGCACAGCAGCTACTTCGAAACCTTCTTCCTCCCAAATCGGTGGTGCAGCTGCAGCCGAGCCAGATCTTGAGTTGTTAGGTGTGCTGCTGAAAAACCCAGCTTTGGTTTTTGCCTTAACTTCTGGCCAAGCTGGTAACTTGTCGAGTGAAGAAACTGTGAAGCTGCTAGACATGATTAAGGCTGGTGGGGCTGATGCTGCTAAAAAGGTGGAAGAGAAGGTTGAAGTGTCTCTTCCATCTCCGACGCCATCGAGCAATCCTGGAACGGTGCGTGATATAAGCTTCGTTGCACTACCTGGATCCACATTTTCGTACATAATTAAAATGAAAATCGACGTGGAAAAGAATATAATAAACCTGGTAGAAAATTATATGGTTAAAAAGTGTGAGACTTGTTATAGAAAAATGGCAACCAATTTAATGTTAAGATGGGAGCATGCCCCCCATGGGGAATAGTGAAAGTTCATGTCAATCATTGATGGGTATCATCATCAGGTATCCAGATGGCAATACGTGGCAAATGTCTGGAACCTCAGCATCATTACTACATTTATGAACTTATATAGTACTACTGTTGTACTATCCTAAAAGTTACACGTCCAGAGAATCTTTGATTTGATGACATTATCATTGGTTTTTGGATTCATCATATTGAATGTGTATATATTTTTAATTTGCAGAGTGGATGGAGACCGGAGGCTGTGGGGAACCCTTTTTCACAACATAGTCAAATGGGAAACAGAGTTGCCCAAGCTTCTGTTGGAGTTCGAACGGCTATTCCTGTTGCCGAACGGCTTCCCGCTACTAGCATGGTGGCACCACAGCAAGAAGCAAATGGAAGATCATTAGCACAACAGCTTGCAGCAGCCATGGCACAGTTGTTGCCTCAAACAAATACGACGAGTACAGAAAAGATACATTCCCCTAATGTTGCTTATTCACATCATGGTCATTCTTCTAATTCTCCAGTTATGCATTCGCATACTGATCCTTCAATGCGGGTAGAAACCATGGCACCACATATACCTGAAAAAGTGCACTCTTCATATTCTTCGTCTCCACTGATGCCGACGCTGTCACAGCGACAAACACCACACTTACCCTATCCTCTTCAACGGCATCCATATTCCACTAGACCCCCAGTGGGAAACATAGTTCCAATGTCTGATCCATGGAGAGGCACACAGAGTTTGGGTTCTAATTTTCATTCTCAGGCTCAAAACAATTATAATGCATCATCATCGTTTGGAGGATCTATGCAGCCTCAGTCGCGATCGGGCCTTCCTCCACAGAAAGAAAACGAGTACGTAAGTAATGATGGTTTCGAGTCGTGGAGTCCAGATAATAGCCCAAACAGGTTTTCAGAGTATGCAGCGGGACTGAACTACATGGAACCCAGAATGAATTCCGGCTGGAGCTATGGAGCCGATAGGCCATCATGGCAAGGGAAGTCTCCTGAACGTAGGGACCAGCACAGACAGGGAAATAGATGGCGTGACAGAAGATGAAGAGGCTTGCTGCCGCTGTTGGGTTGGGAATGTCGGGCTTGTCATCCACCGTGGGTGTTTTTCCATAGTGATAAAATTCTTAGGCGGTTGTATAGGTGGAAAATGGAAGCCAATTGGACAAACGGGACGTCATTGTATGCTGGACATTACAAATGCAATTGCACCTTTCTGGCTCTTCTCCATTTGATAAGCAACATGAAAAAATAAAAAGGAAGAAAAAAAAACTTGCCAGAATTTCTCTCTTACGGATTAATGGTTAAACCGTGGATAAGAATTTTGATGCAATCAATCTCGCGTTCTGCAATCAAATCTCGAACCTTGCTGCAATATTTAATAGAACGACTCAAGATGGATGAAAAAGAAAATATTTTATATTAATAATATATTTATAGAATGTTATTGGATAAATGATTATAATTGGGATGTTAAAAATATTTATTTATAAATTTATTTACTGTATTTAATCTTTAAATATTAATAAAAGACAAAAGTATAATTGAAATGATATTTCTATTTTTTTCAATAGTTTGGGTGATTATAATTATATTATTTTATTCTATTAGTCTAAAATAATTATGAAATAATATATGCTTAATGATAAAAGAGAATGTTGCTATTCTTAAAGGATTCATGTGTTTGAGTAATTACATCTGTAAGATGTTTTTACGTTATCAATAGACTAAAGAAAAATTCTCCCTATTCATGTTACAAGGATGTCCTATTTTAGTTTCAACTTCAAATGGTTTCTCACTATATCAATTTAATCAGAAATTAGTAATGACTAAGTTATGATTTTGATATATTTATTATAATAAATTTTAATTTTCAATCCTAATATTTTAATTTAGTGTAATTAATCTTTTTGATTTTGTAATGTCATTAGTTGAAGCAAACAATCAATATTTAAAACTATCTTGGTTAATATGTTTAGTTAAAATTTTATGTTTTTTTAAATGATAATATTAATGATGTTAATTATTTGGATGAATTTTAAAATAAAAAGATTAAATTATATCAAATCAAAATGTAAAGACTAAATTGTAAATTTAAGTAAAATAGAGGGGACCAAAATCGGGTTTGAGCATAGAACACCGAAACTTAATGAAATCATGAATGTGGTCCTAGGTTCAGAAGATCTCGTTGTGGGCCGTGTGGCCATTTTCAGCCTACAAAACGCACCGAGGCTGCGTCCACCAAACGCTGGAAAATAGTAATAGTAATCAAGATCTGTTAACGAAGGTCGATTCAAGAAGGGTTTATCTTTTCGCTCAATCAGCAGATTCTCTTCTCTCCTCAATAATAACAAACAATTTTCTGGAAATTCGATTTTTCTTGTAACAATTTTGGAGCAGAAAACGCAGAAAAACGAAGAATTATTTTCAGGTTTCAACATCTAAATCCCATGTTCAGATCATACCTCTCAAGAGAATTCTCTTCTCCCAGAAATCTTCAGCACCCAAACCCCATTATGGTTCAGTCCCGCAGTCCCCATTTCCTAATTTACCATCCCCAGGTCTTCTACGATAATCCTATTTACAACATTCCCAGAAGGTGGCATTTGGGTCATTCTCACGATCACCATGATCATCACCACCACCACCATAATTTGACCAAGGAAGGAGAAAATATATTTCGGTTGGGTCTGGGAGAGCGGATATCGGTTTAGCTACTAGTAAAGCTTTGACTGGGTATTTATCCGGAAGCACCGCCATCATCGCCGACGCCGCCCATTCGATTTCTGACGTTGTAAAAACAATTTAGTCTTTCGGAGGTTTTGTTAGTTGAAACTTGGAAGACAAGCAATTTATTTTTGATTGGTGTTTTTTTTTCTTTAATTTGTAGGTTCTTAGTGAGATTGCTTTATGGTCATTCAAAGCTGCAAATGTTCCCAAGGACAAAGAACACCCATATGGTTATTTATGATTGTACTTACATGCTACTCCATTTTTTTTCTTAATTTTGATTATAGTTATGAATGTTATGCTTGTAAGAGTTTTATTATTATTATTATTTATTAGGTTTCTTAATTTTCCTTGTTTTATTCTCAGGACATGGTAAGTTTGAAACTCTTGGTGCTCTGGGAATTTCTTGTATGCTTTTGGCTACTGCTAGTGGAATTGCTTGGCATGCTATAGAGCTCTTAATTGTATGTTCACTTTGTCCTTTATCCCATGATTCAAAGTGGATAAGATAAAAATGGAATTGCATTTGAATTGAAAATGGATTGGACATTACAGTAAACCAACCAACTTTGTTTACAGGGGTTACTGTCCACTGCTCCTGAAGCTGTTCAAAGTCATTCATTGGTTCACGGGCATAGCCATCATCATGGTGGACATCGTCATGGGATTGATATGGATCACCCTTTACTAGCTTTGAATATGACCATTGTAGCAATAGGTGTTAAAGAAGGGTATTGAGCTTCTCTTTTGGCCTATTTCACTTTCGCTTTTTATAACTTATTGTTTGCATGCGTGATTGCTTCTTCTGGTATTAATTTCTACATGTTGCAGGCTTTATTGGATAACGAAAAGAGCGGGGGAAAGGCAAGGCAGTGGACTTATGAAAGCAAATGCATGGCATCACCGTGCAGATGCAATTTCATCTGTAGTTGCACTTATAGGGGGTTGGTAAGACTTCTACTTTGGCTGGTCTGTTAATTTTCCTGTTATGAGCTCAGTAAGCAATGCGGTATTAAAATCCTTGATTCTAGTTTGATGAACTTTGCGGAGTCAAGTTTTGCTGATTATGACTATATTTTTTTCTTGGTTAATTTTTTTCTGATTGCTTGATTATTGTATCTTATATGTAAAACTAAAATATTAAAATATGCATAACACCCTTCACACCCCTTTTACCTTGAAAATCTCTGTTAGGGAGGTGGGGGTTGTTGATGTACTTATGCGTGAAAGGGAAATTCACCGTGCTTGATTTAGACATACTAAACCGGTTTCATCTCCCTTGAATGTTTAAGTCTATTTGGATTTGCTTGAATTGTATATAAGCGGACACTCGTTGTTGTTGACCTTATGCCTTGTTCATCATGATCTAGGAGGCTCTATTCTTGGAGTAAAGGTTTTAGATCCTCTTGCGGGACTGGTTGTCTCAGGAATGATTCTAAAAGCTGTGCTGGAAACTGGATACCAGAGGTACATTTTCTTTTTGGTCAACTTTGTAGTGTCCTTGAACTTGTTGATGCTGCAATTCCTGCAGAGCAATTAGAATCCATAAAGCAAACAATTCTAAAAGTTAATGGAGTCAAGGTAACAAAGTTTTGTTTGTGTAACTGTTAATGAATAGCAGATACAACTCTAAATGTAAAATAAATCTGAGTTGTAAATAGACTCCTTCATTCACATGCACCCAGAAATTTACACTGAGTTATTATTTTTTTCCTTTCTTGTTAATCTTCTTTAATTACTTCCAAAACTGTTTGTAGGGATGCCATCGTATGAGAGGAAGGAGAGCTGGTTCAAATCTGTACCTTGATGTACACATTGTGGTGAGTTTTTAGAATATCTTTTCAAAGAGGGATTGGAAAGTATAATATTGCCCACTTTTGCTAAGTCAAGTATATGGTGTCTTTTTGTCCGACTATAAAACTGTGTACTTGTAATTTTCTCATATTTTTGACCTGCAGGTCGATCCTTTTTCTAGTGTTAGTGCTGCACATGGCATAGGTGAAAATGTTCGTCATCAAATTCATAAATCTCACCCTGAAGTCACTGAAGTTTTCATACACATAGGTACATTACAAGATTCTTCATCCCGAAATCAGTTGGGATGAATTAGTTATGGATGAGTACTGTAATTTGAGCATTTGAAGAAGTATTTAATGGACTAGTGGTTATTGACTATTAAAGGGAGAGACCAAAAGAAGGAAGAATTAAGTAACCAACTTTCCATTAACGTAATCACATGCTTCATGTGGATAGTTTTTTCTGGCATGGTGATTCCATTGTTTTCAGACTTTCATGCGTTCTTTCCTCTACAGTTTAGCATGGTGGTTTCAATCATTGTTAACTGAACGCCGCCTTAAAAAAGGGTTTTTTTCCTTCTTGGATAAAGCTTAAGAAGGGCTTTCTCAAGTCAACCTTCTCCTTAGGTTAGATGGCGAGTGTAGCTAATCTTGCTAATAATTCAATCTGGGTACAATTATTTCCCTTCTTCTGCGCATGCACCCAATGGAGTTCAGTATTTTAATATAACATTTTGTTCTGCATTTCCAAGTGAAGAGATAAACACTGCTTAAGATCAGTTTTCTTTTTCAATTTAAAATGTAGATCCTGCATATATAGAGTTCTCTCCTCATGTAATGGACCAGAAAGAATGTTTGGAAACGATCACAGAACAGAATAGTAATGTTTCTACCAGTGAAGAAAACGTTGAAGCAATTGTTTCTGGCATTCTCTCATCAAAGTTCTCAGAGGTAATCTTCTCATTTTGTTGAGTGTTTAACTATAAACAACCATGCTGTAGATGGAGAGTTTAAGCGCCCAAGTAGCAAGGCATAATTGGGTTATACGCTTCTTTCTCATGCATACTTTTTAGTCTACCTCCTGTTCCTAGAAGCAAATATGAATGTTTGCAGAAATATACGGTGGAGCGCATCACCATACACACATTGCAAGGGAATATGTTACTCGAAGTAGAGGGTACCATGCCACCGGAGATTATGATTCGGTAATTAGCTTCCTCTGTTTTTTGCCGATTGTGATTTGTATGGCCTTTAGCTTGTACATTCAAATTCAATGCCAATTATATGGGGTAAATGCAGTGAAGCAATGGACGCAGCAAAGTAAGCAGAGAAGGAGATAAGGAAGGCAGCTTCAAACATTGTTCATGTCAATGTTCAGCTGATACTAGGACGACCAATTCCACAGTTCAAATATGTTTAAACAGAACTTCAAATATTCTTCTTCTTTTTTACATGTGACTTCAGTTACACCCCCTTCCTTCTCTATTTTCTGTAGGTATATTTGATTTCGCATGAATAAAAAAGAGAAGGGATACGAAATTAAGAGCCAAATGATCAGATAATTGTAGTCTGATATCTTTTAGTCTACATTATATTTTATTTCAGAAAAGGGTATCATCATCTCAATGGCTCTGAATCAGATATTAATACTTATTTTGTAATAAAAACAAAAACAAAAGGTGCAGAGTTGAAAGAAGAAGATAAAGGCTCAGAAGGATCCATTGGTGATTTTGTAATCACGAGAGGGGTATGAAAACCCTTCATGAAATAGGTAGGTTTCAAACATCACAGCCTTCTATTGTTATTGAAAACAAACAGAAACAAGATCAAAAGCTTCATTGTAAAACAGAAGAAAACAAAGAAAAAGAAAAAGAAAATAATTCGTAGCATTAGCTTCGGCTGCAGAGTTGGCTATAAATAGATTTTTTTTTTGTAAATTAGGGTTTAGGGTTCCGTTGTGGGGACAAAGATTTATTACGATTCCACCCCTGTGGCGTACGATTCTCTCGAAGTCGGTGGATAGCGAATTGGGTTTGGGCTTTTGGTGTTTTAAAATCTAGTAGGTACTTTCATATTCGTTTTAAGGTGGTTGGTTGAAGGGGCTGATGCACCAAGTATTTCGAGAGCATTTGTATATTTTTTATTTAAGAAGATATATTAAATTTAATTTAATATGTTAAAGTGATAAAAAAAGAGAGAGACAATTTTGTACTCCTTTTCTAGTATTATTTAATTCAAAAGTTTTATCTTATACAAGTGAATCATAATTTATATATACGAGTTAAGATATACTTACATAATATAAAATTATTTTAATATTATTTTAATATTATTAGTCTAACTAAATTTAACAACTAAAAGATACCGACCAAAAGGTAAGTTTCATGTCGGTTGTTTGTTTCAAACTTGAGAAAAATTTGAGCCTTAGTGAAGAAAACACCAGCTTGTTTATTATCACCATAAACGACCAAGAATATCCTCCAGGGACAGCCGAAAGCTAAAAATGTAACACAGAAGCTTATTGTCGTAACCGTTTTTCGGTTGGGCTCCGAAATTGGGTTTCGACTTAAGAAAAATGATTTGGAGTCGCCACCGATTATTTATTTAAAAATAAGTAGGTCAATCGGATACTTTATATCTTACCTGATCTGCGTCTTACCAGTGATATGTCGGATTCGGGAGTCGGTTACAGTCAATGAAGGGTTAGCACCCTTGAACTGCCTTTTCGGTACTACGCAATTTTCAGTTGTCTTTAATTAAGAAAATTATAATTTTAAATTAAAAGGTAAAATACCGATCCAAAATTACTTACCCTTGATAGTTTTAAAAGTGTACCCTTTAGGAAGTCAAGAAACATGTTAGATAAAAATGTAGTAAAAATGAATAAAATAAAGAAGGTGAAATAAAAATAAATGCAATAAAGTAGAGAAAATAAAACAGATAAAGAAGATGTAAGCAAGACAAATAAAATAAAATAAAGATGCAAAAAAAAACAAATATATATATATAATATATATATATTATATATATATATATATATAATACATAAAATAAAGAAGGTAATAAAAATAACAATACAAAAATAAAAATAGAAAAAAATAAAAAATAAATGAAATATATAAAATAATAAATATAAACATATAATTATAGTAATAAAAATATATATAAATAATAATATATGAAAAAGAATTAAAAGTATATATATATATATATATATATAAATAACGATAGAATATAAAAAATAAAAAAATATAAAAAAATAGTCAAATGAAGATAATTAATATATATATATATAAGAATAATAAAAAAATATGCATATAACAACAAAGAACTATTTAAAAGAAAAGCTAAAATTAGAGTCAAATTTGAAAGACAATTAACGTTGATATTGTGCATTAGGGAGAAAATGAATGTTTTAACTTTAAGTTTTTCTTCTTTATTTTTCGAAAATCTAAATAATTTTCTAAGATCGGGCATCGGGATTATTAGATCTACAAGATAGATCTTTAAAAAATCTTCCCGTTCATCGGCCAAAAATGATTTTATTTGGGTTTGACTCGAGCGAAAATAATGGAGAAACACACATGCAAGACTTAAAGCGATAAAGGTACAAGCTTTTACATTTTCTACTTATTTTCCTCTTCGATAATCATGTTTTTTGCTCCGATTTGCTAGTAATTTCTGTTGTTTATTTCGTATATCGTGTGTTACAAATGAAGAGGATTACATGTATTTATAGTAAAGAAAAACTAACAATGAATCCTAATGCAACTAGACTCCTTGCTCGATTGTTGCACGTTTGTTAGTGTGGTTGTTGCTTTTAAAAGATATGGTGGTGGAAGAATCCTCTTAGGAGAGTAACTCTTACTAACTCTATCTTTTAAGAAAATTGGTGTCTACACTTATATTATATAGCTCTTAAACTTCCCAGAAGGGTTTTTCAATGGCTGAATCCCCATGTGAGAGCTGTTGCGAGGAAGGTTCATCATCGGCAGTCTTTGTTGTTGGCTTATTGCTTCAAGTTCCAATCTTTGTTGCTGGTGGTGCCACTGTTCATGCAAACCGTTTGGCCTTGACCCTCCAATCCCCATGAAATCAAGGGTCGTCATGTTACTACTTGCGCCACCAGTACTACTCGTTCCGAACATTGCCGGTCCCTGGGTTCTACCTTGTAACAAGCTATCCTCATGTTCCAAGCTCTTCATCAAGCCCTGGTTTTGGTGATCAGCCCCGTTAATGAACATGTTTATGAACATCCCCATATCGTTAGTTGCCGAGCTCATGATCGGGCTGATCCCGACCATGCTCGACTGATTCGTTTGCGGCGCAAATTGATGATCATAAGATGTGTTCTGCTGCTGAGGACATGGCATGCTACTAGCGAAGCCTTTTTGCATCATAGGAGAGTTTATACTATTGCTTGCAGTTGCACCCATCTGTGCTGCTTTCTGTAACAAGGCCGTGGCGGACATGATCGGGCAACCATTTTTGCTGTCCTGCAAATAGTTGAGTCCAGATGCACTATTTGAACTAAGTTGTAGACTAGACGAGGCGGAGGAAACGCTTCGTGACCCGCTGAACCGACTGCTCGAACTACTCGTAAACATGCCTCCTCCCATGTTCATGGACATAAACGGCATCGGGACTAGCTCTTGGGGAAGCGATTTGAGTGGGGAATTCGGGTCGAAGTTGCCAAAGTCGGAGTCGGATACTCCAACACTCACATTGCCCTTGCTCATCGGCATCGATGGTATAAGCTCGGGCGCCATTTGGTTTTGCAAGTTCGATCCCATATTGTTCATTAGTCCTTGGTTTACATTGTTGTTTTCTTCAGCTAATGCGTCACAGAATGCTCTGTGGGTGATGAAGCTATCTCTCCTGCACAAAGAATAATCAGTGGCATTCAATAAACTACATACACATACACATACACATGTTTAAGTTTGATTAAAGATTATAATATAAAGTACAAATTAACCTTGAAAAGATGGTTCCAGAATCACATTTGTATTCCCTAGTACGACATGTCTTCTGATGAGCTTTCCAGATTGCACAGCATATTTCTTCGAGCACTTGTCGCATTTCCACTTCTTCTCGCCATGTTTACGGCTGAAATGCTTCTTAATACCCGTGAGATCTCCGAGAGCACGAGCCGGATTGTGGTGGACGCAGGTCGGCTCCGGGCATATATACATTCGTTTCTTGACCTCAGTTGCTGTCCTTTGCTTTAGCTTCCAAGGGAGATTGTGACCCCTCCGGTGTAATTGTAGGTTTTTGTCCCTTTGGAAACCTTTGTTGCATATCTCACATACAAATCTATTTGTGGCCATTAGCGTTGTTGGTGATATTGCAATAACTTCAGCATTTGGATCTGCTTTCAAACAAAATTTATAAACCATTTAGCTCAAAAGTTTGCATAATTACTATTAAATTCATTCAATGAAAGCAAGATCTGTAGAATCACTCGAACACTGAAAAGCCAGTGGTAAAAAGGTGCAATCAATTAGCAAACAGTAAAAAAACAAAAGGATAGGTAAAAAAAGTGCAATCAATTAGCACACAGTTGTTGGCAATTATTGCAATCTCATGGCAATAATTGAATCCTTTATATATAACAAATTATTTAACTATTAATCTTTGGTTTGACCCATACTTTTTTTATATTTTGAAATTTTAACCTCGACCTAAATAGTAACAATTAAATATGTTAAGTCGGATTTTATTAGTTTTGTATTATGCATAAATTATAGGTCTAGTTCATATATCTTTTTCAATTTGTTCATTTTAAGCTCTTAAATATTTGGATCAAGACTAAAATATTAAAATTTGAGAAATATAAAAACTAAAATTGACCAATTTATATTACAAAATTTATTCATAGCACAAGCACTAATGATAGAACTTGACCATTGATCTTTTCTTCCCCGTATTTGTTTTTTTGTTTAATAGCTGGACCTGCATGCTTCTATGGAAGCAGATGCAAACCATAAATCCATGCATATCAAACTCAAATAATGGTTCAAAATCAAAAACCAATCAAACAATCTAAACAATTGGCTAAAATTTAAGAAGTTTTACCCTATGTCTAACTGCTCTCATCACTCTATATACATAAATAACCTGAATTATATAAATTTAAAAGCATAGAAGAAAGCATGTAAAGTGAATGATTTGCCTGGAGTCCCTGGTAAATTCCTTTTCTTCTTGACTGCTTGCTGTGAAGCAGCAGCAGCAGAAGGTTCTGAAGCAGAGCCAGCAGCAAAGTTGTTTAGCTGCACTTGTTTCTGCTGTTGCATTTCCTCCCCGGACGAGAAGCTTCTATCATCATCACCTGAGATATTCGACATTTTAGTTGATAAATATCAAAGCTTGTCTGTTTCCCTTTTCGCTTAGCTCCAAAACCCTAGTGTAGTTAGTGCAGTAACTAAAACCGAGGCTTGTTTTGTATCTAAGAGAGGAAGACAAAATAAAGCAGGGAATTCTCCCTTGATTTCTGGTTAAAAGCTAAGGGGTCTAGCTCCCTCTAAGACTAGTTGGAAACCCTTCTTCCTTGGCTTTATATATATATATATATATATATATATATAAATAGGGTTGGAATTTGAAAAGGACAACCGCTTGCAATTACCATCTAATTTGCTAATTGTTAAACTAATTGCCATTCGCTTTCTTAATCGAGTAGGACAATATATATAAATGTAAAAGAAGCTTATCAAGTCATTATTAGGAAGCGTATGGTATAAGAAGTTGATATTTTGCCGAATCCTGTTGTCTATTTTGATCCAATCGATGTAGGAG